TGACATTGAAGTTAATCATTTCAGAAACCAGGAAGGAAAAAGTGAGCTCATTTTTTAATGACTTTCACATTATCAAAGAAACACTGCAAAGCATTATTAAATCATTCAAAGACGAGAATAGTTTTTAATGAGGAAAAAAAAGAAAAAATTCTATCGAAATGAACAAGATTTGCTCTCTTCATGATAACAAAACAAAAAGTCATTAAGTTTTTTCTTACATCTAAAAACAATTAAATATAAGATTTCGATTCTACTAATGAGAGAAGTCCTTAAACTGATTAATCGCTTTTCAGTCAGGAGTCCTGACTCAGGACTCTGTGTATCCTGATATAGACCCAAATGAATTTCGAATATGGTAGAAAGAGTTCTTGTTCTTATCTCATTGTTGTGTAGTCCTCAGGAACATCAAGACAACTGGTTTTCTACTTGAAACTCTGCATAGAAACAGGCCTTGACGATAGTAGATTATTGTGAAAGTTTCAGCTCTTTTGATTGGTTTCTATACTGAAATAAGAATATAAAATCTGCCGTTATACAGATTGTTCTTAATGTCCGTCTGGATAAAAAAAAGTGTGAATAGTGCTCAATCAGTTCAAGCGATTTGCGTTGATTCTCTATAATTTTGTTCGATGTTCCTTTTAGTTTTATTCGATATAGTTCAAATGAAATGTCTATATCTAAAAACATTAGAATCGAAATAGTTTTATTGACGGCTGAATTTGACACAGAAACAATAAATGAAAATGATGTTAAAGAGATCTCTAAACACTTTTATGAAACTGATTCTTTAGTAGATTAGTCACATTCTGAACGTCTTACAGTAATGATAGAAGAAAAATCGATGTAGCTCATGTTATTAATGAAAGTGTATCAATAGGAAGTTTTCTGGTTGTTTGAACCTCATGTGTGTAGCGTGAATTGTTCGAGAGTTGTTCACGCTTTTCTTCTCGACTAGAGTCCATCGAGTCCAAAGTTTTCAGACCTGAACCCGACGAACTTTTGGAATGCCCTATATATGAGCGATATAAAAGACACGTATTTACTGTAGCTGTATCATATGATAGGAACAATGACGAGATCTAAAACACTCACATGAGACTATGCTTATTAAGAGCTGTCTCTGTCCAAGGTTTGAAATCAAAATTCAAAAATGAGATTTCCTGAAGGAAACCACAGCATTCATTGGAAAACTACCGTTAAAGTGCATTATCTTAACAGCAATGACCTGAATGTTCGAACTCTTTTCAGAGTATTCATAGCTCATTTGAGTCTACAAAATAAACATAGCCTCGATTTAAAAACGATTCTATCGAAATATGTTGCTCTTGGTGATTTGTCAAAAGTGTATATTCACTTTAGTTAAGCAAACAAAATGTACATTTAAAAAAAAAACCTTCAACAATTGAATAGTATAAAAGACGAAAAAGAGACCATGATGCATTTTATTTCTATCAAGAATAAAAAAGAAAGAAAAATGAACTACATCTACATTTCTCATTTGAAGTTGTATCAGTCAACAGTCAACGTTTTACTTTTTTTTTTATATAATCATGCAAAATGTCACAATTGAAATATGAACAAAAATTTTGTGAAGGTAAAGAGCAAAAGAAATTTTTTATCAATCAGAGAACTTTTCTTTTTGACATTTAGCAAGAGAATTAATTACTGATAATGAACTTCGTCGTTTAGCTGATAAATATCATAATCGTCATCCGACATTTTCTATTGATATACAAGAACGAACATGTAAAACAATAATTCTTGCTTGTATTTATCATTATCGTCATATTGAAATAGATTTAAGATGTCAATATATATTTGATGATATATTGCATAAATTTCAATTGAGTTGGTCAACAGATGATGTTGAATATAAAAACATTCTTGAAAATATTTTTTTACATTTGAACTCTTTATCGAATAGACGATCACTTGATGATCAAATTGAATCAATCATTGAACAACTAACAAAATATTTTATTCAATTAAAACCAATTAAAGAAGAACAAGAACAATCATTTAGGACAATAAAACAAAATTCAACATTATCATCATTACCAATAGAAATAGTTAAATATTCACGATCACCTCAAAGTCAACGACGACATTTACTTGATCGATCATTATCATGGTCGCAATCATTAACATCATCTCCGATTTATAATAAATCTAATTCATTATTAATTGAAAGACAAAAGAAAAGTTAAAAAAAAAAAAACAATAAATTTATTAAGTATAAAACATGCGGAATAGCATAGAAACATGAATGTTGAAGAAATTCCACTACTTTAAGTATATCTTGTAATGCATATGTAGATGAAATAAAACGAAGTTTAATATTGAATGACCTATTTCAAGCTACAGAGAACTGTCTTGTTTAATGTTGCGACGAGAATCCAAGAAAAACTTTAAGACATTATGTTCAAGTTGCATGATGCACTAAACAATTAACTGTAAGTTGTTCGATACAATTAGTCCGTAGAAAGGTATTGCATTTGTGTAAAATCAATTGATGATGATGAATAGATAATAGTTACTGTCTCTTCGTTCAATATTAATTTATATAGAAAGAAAAAATTCCTATTTTAAAATGCGTAGATAAGAAAATTAATAATTGGGGCGTTTTTCTCAGGATCAATTCTATACTGTTCATAACTACATTCATGTCAATTCTAAATAATAAAGTATACCCTAGTGAAAATACTCATAAAACGAGCACGACCTGCCAGCATGAGTACTCGAGCAATTTTATGTTAATTAATACTGTTCTCGTACTCTTATTAGTTTTTCCTAAAGGCTTATTCATAGACAATGACATGAGTAAGCATGTTTTCTTTTGCAAAATATTTAGAAAAACATTTATACACTTGTATCTCAAAAATAGATTGAAGTTATGGAACAACGAATAATGGAAAGAAACTAATTTGGTTTATCCTATCCTGTGGTGATGAATCATTTGTAAGATTTTGTTAAATGGTGACTTTAAAAAAGAAACGACTTTTCCTTTTAAACTTTTAACTTGTCGAGTGAGATCGAATATTTGTTTACATGTATTAATCGAGATTTGTTCAAATTTAATTTTGTAAAAGTGACAGGTTTGCAAATTAACTGTCATAAGTAATTAAACAAAAAGAATTAACAAGTATTGTTAAAGCAATAATCAACGTTATTCTTCTTATTCTTTTCAGATTCTTGTATTCTTGCCTGAATCTTTTTTCTTGTAACTTCTGTCTAATCCTTGTAATTCAGGAATAACCCTTTTTAAAGTCGATGTGATTATCTTCTATCCCTAGTGTTTTATATTTACTACAAATTTTTAGTACAATACACGAAAAGTGAAATATATACATCTCATTTCACATAACATTCATGAAGAAGAGATGGAGAACATCAGCAATGGTAAATAAAAAGAACAAAGCAAAAAGGATAGTTTACAGTCAGACTATAAACCTAGCAAGTGCATCATGAAGAAAAAAAAGGAAAAACAAATAATCGAATTAATCTATCTACATTAAAAATTCATAAGCTTCATAGTTCATCATCTTCATCTTTATCATCTAGAACACATAAATATTAAATTGTTATCGAAATTCTTCGTCTTGATGAAGTTGTTCATTTAATTGAACACAATTTAATATTAGCTATCGTCGTGTAGAAACGAATAGCTAATATTCAGACGGTTAGGTATGCATGTATGTGTGTACATAGACATGAGAGATCTCAATGGATTGGGTCGAGCTCGGCCTAGACGAACTAATGGGAGTAATTTTTTTCGAATGCTAAAAGATACCATCACATAGATGCGAATGTGGAGTGTGGATCACACAAATAGATTTCCAATGCCTCACGATATTGTCATTGCTAATTCTAATCTTCAATTTAATATTCTCTATCATAATCAATGTTGACTCACTGTTAGGTATAATTTTCTATCATTAATGTACTGCAAAATGTTACTGTAGTATTAATTATCAATTTTTTCTACACGATTTTCTCTCTTTTTTAAATTTAAAATGATAAAGATGCAGGTGTGGGTTAGAGGTGTCGAGGTCCCTCGCTTTCTAGGATTTCGGTTCTTGGGAATGAAACCCACTCAAAGAGTCGTTTCCGCGCGTTTCTGAGTATATTGAAACTTATGGACGTATTTATTCTTTCAATCTCTATTCAGTCAATATGGGTTCTCGAATTCCCGAGAATGGAACCAGAAACTGACACCCATAGTGTGGGTGTAGGTGTCTTTTCTTCATTCACATATCTACCTCCAAGAAATGAATGGTAAGATCAGGATTTTTTTTTTCTTCGATAACAAATCATGTCTAAACAACATTTAACTCAGCTATTTTATTTTAAAAAAAATCTAATATTTCATTTCAATGGAAAGAGAACTATTAATTAATCATTTAATACAATATATGTCATATAGGCAAATCATAGGCAATCTATGTATGACTGGATATATTTAGAAAATTAAAAATGCACATATCACAACAAATAAAAAATACACTAAAAAGATTATTTTATTAACTATACAATTTATTAAAGTTAAATGAAATCGTTAACACGATTTCACCAGATGATGCATACATCTATTAATAAATTATTTTTCCCTATATTTTTTAGTCAAGAATTCTGAAGATAGTCGATGTGCATATTCTTTTCGCTTCATTTTTAATATCAAATAATCGCGAAAAAAGGTATTCAAAGAAAAAAAGATATCGAACGCTATATGATGATTGTTATAAATGAGAGATTAATTAACAAAATACCAAAAAAAGAGAAATTAGAAATTGATCACAAGTAACAGTAATTCTATAAAGTATTTCTTTTGATCAATTTCATTATTTTTAAATTAAATAAAAAATCTATTCATTTCAGTTTGAAAAGTTCAAACTATGATAGTTTTTGTCTTTTGATCACTATCAAATTTCAATATTAGTTATTGAAAGACGTCTTCTATTATATTAAAGTTATCGGGAACATTCACATATCTGACTCAGATCCAAGGGGAAAACGGCGTAACTTTAAGTCGAAAAGTATTCCAAATTAAAAAAGTAGTTCAAAGTACTCAAAAGTAATGTAAAGTGAACCAAAGTACTTTAAATTATGTGAAAGTACTTTAAGAGCCGGTCAACATAAGCGACGACCGAACTAGCTCAATCGAACGTGTCAGGTACTGCTCAATATAAGACATATTGTATAGAGAAGAGTTTTATAAATTTTGTTGCAAACCGTTTTAAAAATATTGAACCTTCGATTTTTTTATGAGCATTTTACGAAAAGTCCCAAAAATGACTATTTCCATCACGGGGACACCTAATGTGGCTATATCTCAATATTGGCTCTATTGATTGAGCTGAGATTTTCTACAAGCACATAACTTTGTGAGTTCTACTCATCATAAAATGTTTGTCACAAAATATTGAAGCACTAAAATTTTATGGTTTCTCCAATATGAGCGAAAATAAACAATTTGAGTAACTTTGGTCTTTTGTAACTTTTTTAATGGAATGATATAGAGGTCTGAAATTTTTATTGTAATTATAGCACTGAAAGCTTTATCACCCTAAAAAATTTCAGCCTTATACGGTATTTTGTTTAGCCAGGGAAGCCTTCTCAATAATGGATTTTGTTAAAAATAGAGGTTTTCAGAATAGGTTTTCGCCCAAGAAATGGGTCAGTTTGGGAGCTGTCATACAAGAGTTGGCAGCACTCTCTCTGGTCTACAACCCCACAGAACAAATTAGCGTGGGATCTCAATAAATGATGTGTACAGAAGGTCATCTTTGGTAGGGCTGTATGACCCACCGCGAAGGGGGAAAAAGCGCGACTGCATGTACTCCAAAAAAAGTTGGAGTACAATTGGAGTACCATTGGAGTACCATTGGAGTACAATTGGAGTACCATTGGAGTATCATTGGAGTACCTGCACTGGCACTCCAATGGTACTCCAATTGTACTCCAATGGTACTTCAATGGTACTCCAATGGTACTTCAATGGTACTCCACATACTGGAGTCGCGCTTTTTCCCCCTTGCCCACCGCACGAAAGCTACAATCGACTCTCCACAGAAGTTACTCAACAGATTATCACCAACTTCACTGTTTCCATATGCATTATAGAGATAACTTTTTCCTGGCTTTCTACACAAGCCATTTGAAGAAATATTGTTCCGTTCTTGATATATTCAAATTTATCAACAGCCTTTTTAGCCAAAAATGCCATTTTTTCAATTTTTCTGGCATCCATATGTCATCAACAGTACATCCATTTCGATTCAAACTTTTAGCATGAGTCTATCTTTGATTTGTGCATATTTCCTAAAACAAACAAACTTGAACACATGAAGGATTTATGAATTGATCTAGAATGCCAACTGCATGCAAAACAGTTGACTTTTTGGCATTTTGTACGCATACATTGTGGATGAACAAATCTAACTTGAGAACTGNAATAAGGTATGGCAAAAAAGTTCGCGACAATTTTCATATCGATATAAATAGAAAAATTTCAGAGAACTTTTTTCAACAAATTATAACACAAGATGCAGCATGAAAAGCTCTACAATATCCATAAGATCGCTTATTTTATAGTTGTGGTTTTTGTTTTCAAAATAGACAAAATTTTGAGCGACCTAATTTCGGCCATATGAAAACGATATTTTTTTGGTACAAGATGAATTCGCTCTTTCTTATTCCATCTTCTTATTATTGTTCTTTGTCAATTGTAGAGCTTTTCACGCTGCATCTTGTGGTGTATTTTATTTATCTTTTAATAAAGGGTATCAGGTGCTAAATAAGAAAAAATGCATTTCTCGTGTGCCAAAAAAAAGATTTTTTCGCAACATCGAAACTAGAGACGCTCAAAATTTTGTCTATTTCGAAAACAAAAACCGCAACTATAAAATAAGCGTTCTTATGAATGTTGTAGAACTTTTCACGCTGCATCTTGTGGTATAATTTGTTGAAAAAAGTTCTCTGAAATTTTTCTATTTATATCGATATGAAAATTGTCGCGAACTTTTTTGCCATACCTTAAAATTAATTCTTTTTTTTTCGTAAATAACGAGAGTTGTCGAATACCTAAACGTGCAACGTAGATGAAATTGTAGCGAATTAAAAAAAAATAATGAATCTCCAAGAGGGAGAATATTAGAGGTCATGCGGGTTGTGTAAGATATCTTGAATTCATCGACACTGCTAGAAAATGATATCACAAGATTGGTCCCGCTCATCGCTAAGCAACATTATTATCTTAATGATACGATGAAGAAAAAAAATATACGACAACAGTCTATATGGATGAAGTAATAAAAGACTAGAATAATACTTCTCATGAATTGAAATAGTTACAGTTAGATACTGAAACACTAACTATGATATGAAAAAAACGTTTTGCCTCACTATTACTAGTGTGCATATTAATACTTTAATTTGACACTGTTTCCTTTGCTTGCTTTTCTTTTTGACCTTAAAATTTCAACCAATATTATTTGCTATACAAACCTCTTATTTTTGTCTACGTCACTATAAGTAACAGCAATATTAAAATGATTGATTTATACCTGTGATTGCTATCGAAAACCTTTAGTTTCGGTTGAAAAAGTCTTTAGTGAGAAGAGAGGGCAGGCCGCCAAATTTCGACTTAAAACTTAATCTTCTTATTTTCTTCGAATATGAATGTGAATTTCACAAAAAACTTTATTACAGTATTACCATTGAAATGACATATTAATTGCAATAATGCACATGATTTTTGATTTAAGCAATTGAATTAATCCATGACCCTTCAATGAAGCAAGAGCTTCTTTCTAAAGAAAAAAAGAGAATAAACAATCGAAAGAGTGCATTTGTTTTTTTCTATCATGATTAATCACTTTTTTCTCTTCAATTACTAAACATTGATATGATGTTAAATCAAAACTATTTTTATTGGTTTCAGCAATTCGACGAAGAATTTTTTCTGCTTCGTCATAATAACCTTTCGAAATAAGCCAACGTGGACTTTCTGGTAATATACTAAACAAATCACAATTATAATACAATAAATAAAAATATACATTTTTTATATAACTTACAAATAGAAAAAAAGGAATGGTATTGACAATATAGCTAAAGCTGTATGCAATAAACGCCATGTCAAATCATATAAGCAAATACTAAAAGAATTAATTGACCTATTGCAAAGAAATACTCAATTATAATTCCAGTAAATAAACGTTGCTTTGGTCCGACTATGAATGAAGTTATACAGTATATCAAAAGTAGAAAATCGATTCATTAACTAACCTATTTCTACGCCTACAAACAAAAACAAATATAAATACGTTATATAAATATAAAGGCATGACGTTTTAATGCATACCGATAACAAAGCCAGTAAGAGCTACACCTCGAGTTGCACATGCAACTAAAAATCGACCAAATAGAAAAAGTACGTAACTTATTTCAAAGCCAAGTTTTTGTTGTGGTGCAAATGCACATACAAAACTGCCCAAAGAGATTATGAGAAAAGAAATACCCATAATGGGTCGTCGACCAAATCTTAACATATAAACATCAATGATTGTTTTTTTTTAAATTATGACAAACTTACTTGTCAGATAAAATACCAAATATAAGTGAACCAATCATATAACCGAAAAAAAATATTGTTTGAACAAAAGTTTTAAGTGTTACTTCATTACAAACCATAGACCACTAAAAATAATCATTTATAATAAAGCTCTTTTTTTTCTTTTTTATTCATAATAACTAACTTCTTCAACTAATGTTGATTGATAATATGTTCGATCAAATATAAAACTATTACATGCTTTCAATGGTCCATTATTTTCACCATAAGAATAGCTTTTATTTATATTTTGATAACATCTTTGACATTCACGTAAAGATATTTGACTTTGATATTCACGACATTGAGATTCACTTGGAATATAATGATGTAAAAGATCATTAGGATGTTTATCTTCATACATATCTTCTTCTGATATTCGACAACGGAAAGATGGTGTAGCAGCTGTGAATGTCCATGTATAAACCATTATTGGAGGAAGCATATATGTCAAACATATTAAGAAATATTTGACTTTTTGGTATCGACCAAATACTCCAACAGTTTTGTAGAAATCATCAAATTGCATTATTGTTTTACTTACTAGCTAAACAAGTCAGTCAGCTGAAAACAACTCAATACAAATATGAAATACGTAGCCAAGAAAGTTGCCTATTTTCAAGTCATCTGTTGTTTTTTCTCCTATTTTTTTTTTTGTCGTTCTTCATCAAATCTGTTCGTATTCGATTGATTGATCGCTCTAAATATATCGTTAAATTATGCAAGTTATACATTGTAATTATTGTACATAGCACGTGATTGATGTTGCTTTTAAACAATATATTTCCATGATTCGATGATTTTCTTCTTACTAATCAACATATTATTAATAATTAGAACATAATCAATTTTATTTTGTTTTTATTATATTTGTTTTTCAAATCAAACCTGTTTTCTGTCAGTAATTTAATAATCACATGGAAATGTAGGTAAAAATAAACTGACGATGAACAATCACTATTATAAAAGTATTTTAATAAGAAAAACAGACAGAATATTTTGATTGCATATATTAATGGAAATAAGTGAATGCGAGATAAATAGACAAATGAAGAAAAAAAAGAATTACGCATAATATTATGATATTTTAAGTTCAAAAAGAAGAAGAAAAAAAGATTAAATAATTGCACTCAAACACCAGATGATTCATTGGGTACAGTTACAAGTTGTTTACCATCTTTAAAATATGTTTTAAATTGTTCAGCTATTGGAAATTCTTTATATTCACCGTCACCAAATGGAATATTAACACTCATTTCCGATGATTTTGATGTTATAAATTCCGTATCAAGTGATGTATTTGATAAATAAATATGACAACCATCAGTTTTTTCAATTTGTATTGTTGGTACACGATCAATAACTTGTGCTTTCATACTTTTACAATTAATAAATTCAACTAATGATACCACCGATGTAAATTGAAGACCAACTTTTGTACATTGATCAAGTACAATAGAATTCACTTTACCTTCAACTGTTATTGTTGAGTTCGTACATTTATATATATAAATACTATGTCTCATATTTGTTTCAGTTATTCGTAGATCATGTTTGCCTGTTTGATATTCAACTAACCATTTATTACCTTCGAGTACTAATTTAGGTGGTCCACCAGTTGTTGATGTTGGTGCATTGACAGTCTAAGGAATATTAATTATCATATCGAGTGTTTCAAGAAAAATGAATCTCTAAATATCCTAATTATATAACTGTTATTATTCGTTTTCTCAGATCTTTCTTTTCAAAAAATCCATCTTTTAATTGTCTACATAACGATATCCATATCGGACATTTGTTCGTACTACTTCCGGTACTCATAAGAACCGAAGGTACCGCTTACAACTTTCGATTTCAACTATAAACGATTTCAGAGAGTGCTTTCTATTTAAATTCGAATTCAAATCAATCGAGAAGAAAACAGTTTCAGAATATGTTTTAGTAATAAAAATTTATCTCATAACCAGGTTATCGTGTACATTATACCGATCGATAGTTATCGCATGGGTATGCTTTTTTAATCTAAATAACGTTTTTCTTTAAATTTCTCGTCGAACTTTTATAATTTCATACTTTAGTTCTTCAATAAGAGTATCTTTCGATGCTATTTTTTTCCATTAAGTACAATAACTAAAGTCACCTCAAATAGAATAGTTCAATGAAATTGTTTTATCGATATTTTATTGGTATTTGATAGAACCTTGCACTAAGTCAACTAAAGTTTTTGCCGAAAATTTAGTTTTAACATAAGAAGATTTTTGAATAGTAGATTTTGTTCTTTGACATTTACTGTACAAATTGATGTATTTGGGAGATTCCAATGACGTTCTTTCAAGATTTATGAACATGAAAGAAAATCAGAATCAAAGTCAACTCCAACTTTTTTTCGTGCTCGAATGCCTCTATAAGACATTGTGAAAACCTTCAAAATGCATCAGCTTCTACAGTAAGTATCAGAGAATAAAGCCTACTATTCAAAAAATTTACTCGACACCATGCAAGGTTAAATCAAGTACCAATAAAATACGAACAGGAAATCTTTGCAATATATTGGAAATTTTATTATAACAAAAAATATAAAATCATAGAAATCCAACAAAAAGTTGCTCTGGAAAATAATGGATGCGAATTTAGATTCATAACAAAGAAATACTATTTTATAGAGTATTAAAAGAGATATAATTAAAATATTGAGAAGCCCACTTTTCATGGAACACTCGGTATTAATAAAAGAAAAGTCATATTTACTTGTGGTTTAACAGTTACTTGTGGTGGTGGAGTTTTTCCAGGTTTAGGTGGTACAACTGGTTTACCATCAACAAGTTGTGCTATACCTTTCTTTCCATGTGTACTGTCGTCATGAGCAGCAGATTGATTATCTAAAAGAAGACTTTAAAACAATTTTAGAATTATTAAGTTTTTTTTGTACCGGTGCTTTGTCTTAATTGCGGATTTTTATGCGTTTTTAGTTCGTCAGGTACTCTTTTTAAATGAACTGTTGCACCTTGACCTAATGCATTTATAGAATTCATTAATTCAGCGCGACTATTATCGGCAGCGTCACTAGCAGAAGTATCGAATAACATTGGAGGTGGTGGTGGTGGCGGTGGAGGACCACCAGCAACAGGTTTAACTGTTGATACACTAACTGATTCAAAATCGCGTTTGCCTTGTGATCCCCATGCCAGACCAGTAGTATGATGTTGTCTAACATACGTATAAAGATCATTTAATACTTTAGCCCATAGTTTGACCCATTCAACATGAGTAGGATCTTTCTCTTTAAATTCTTTTAATACACGATTTGAATAAAATTGAGCTGCGTCTGTCATATCTTTGATATGTGGACCAGGTGTTGGTGTAACAAGAACCCAACCAAGTGCTGGAATACCTTCAGAAACAGCCGATAAATGATTAAAAAATGGTGATTTACGATTTTTGCTAGAAAAATCTATTTAAAAAAGATAAATCAATTTTTATTTATTCATTTTTTCTTATTCATACTTGTAATAGCTTCAATTTCATTTGATTGTGGTTTAATTGCTTCCATAAGTTTTTGATCAATTGGCTTAGTACTTTGTACAGCTTTTCTTAAAAATTGTTGTTGAGCATCAAATAGTTGTTTAACATGATTACTCATCGTTGTCAATTCTTCGCCAATTTTTTGTGAAATAGCACAAAATGGTTTAACCGATTCATTAATTAATGTATCATAATCACGTAATACAGGTAAATGATCAACATTATTTGCCGAATCATCATTCACATGCGATTGACCACTAGTATTGGTAGATGATAGTTGACTGACAACAGATTCTAATCGACTTGTTAGCGTTTCAAGACGTTTTAGTTGATCATCCATTTCTAAACAAGAAAAATAATGAAACGAATTATAATAGCAGATGTGCAAAAAGGTCATTCATCTCAAGAGAGAACACTTCTTCACTTTTTAACGAATAAGATAAAGCCGCGATAATGTGTAAAAAGTTTTCATATAAAAGATATGTGTTGACAATAAGAGTGGTAAACGGAATGAATCATTCCTATGAAATAATTCGAATGGGATGCGAAAAATAACACACGCAACACTAATGCGAAAAAGTAATCAACAAGTAAAAAGAGAACAAAAAGAAAAAAAATAACTATTTCATGAATTTCATATAGAATGCAACTTTAGTCGACAGTAAAACGAAACGTTTTTTTTTTTGCATTCAGTTCTACTCGTTTAGAATTTCATTAGTGAAAAAAAAATGCAAAAGCAATGAAGGATAATAAGAACAAAGCAAAAAAGAATGTCCGTTCGACTCTTTAGTTGACTAACCAAGAGACACAGTCATTTTTTTATTTAGCAGAGGTCGCTTATTCACATTTGTCATTTAAATAGATTGAATGCATTAAGTGAAAACAAGAAAAAGAAAGGCAATGAATTAGTGAATCTGATCAAATGAAAAACGAATTAATCGATACATCATAATCCTTTTGTTTTAATCTACTGATTTTTTTCTTTTTGCTAAAAAAGTATAAATTGTTTAAATCTTTTTCGCAAACATATATTTCTCATGAAATAAAATAAATACAAAGAAAAAATGGCAATTTTTTTTCTAATTTTTTAAGCGGCACCAATTAGAATCGTTTTTTGCTGCTGCTGATGTTTTCGTTCATTAATATTATTTGAACGTTTTATATGTTGTGGATGTTGTTGAATCATGCGTCCAAATGCATCAATGTATACTTGTTTTGTAAAACGTTTCCAAATTTCATTTGTATGATATGTTTTATAAAAAGCGGCGTCACTTGGAAATGGAATTTCACTTCGACGCACACTTTGCTTATATTGATCAGATGCAAGATGTATAAATGATGACTTATTTAGTAGAAGACATTCACATTGATTGCTAACTAATGTTAATGTTGGCTGATTTGGAAATAACATATCCGCTAAACCCTAAATAAATAATTTCGTTCAACATAATTATTACATATGCGATTCAAATCGGACAAACACCGTTTTATAGACTGTTCGATACAATCTCTCGAGTTGGAGTCTAAAATTTTTCTGTTAACAGGATCCGAATCAGAAAATTTTGAACTTGACAGACTCGATCGTTTGGTGTAATATATGCTACATTGACGTTATTCGCCGGCATACCGACAGTCGACTGGTGGTAGGTTAATTCTTAAACGGTTGGCAGTTTTCTAACCGCCATTCAGTAGTGGTATACCGATAGTTGTTCTCCAACTAGTAAACTACTCATCAATTTTTGCCTATTGCTGATGATGACGTTAGAATAGAACACAATGCTGACGCCAAACGCCATAATTATGTGTACATGAATGCTTTTTCCTTCATAGTAATACATGCTCACTCTTTTAATACTTCATTTTCCTCTTTATGTATTCAGTTACTGCATTATATGATTCATCATCATCTGTATATGAGTTTTCATTACAAAACGAATTCTTTTGGTAAAACAATATCATTTTCGATTTCTATGACCTATTCTCAATTTCACTTGTATGCTTTTACATAATAGCAGTTTGAGAAAATGAAAATATTTTAAAACTTCAAAATCTTATTAATTGTTGGGTTACGCGACCAGCTTGCAGGATACTGCTTATAAGTATCACACAGTATATTACCCAGTGAAAAATATTCCGAAGAAAATCCAGATTATTTTTGATTAGCGACTGACAAATCCGATTTTTCGAACAAAGCTTCTACTTTTTCTAGAAGAATCCGATTAAAATCGATTAAAATGTTATAATCGATTGTAAAATCAATCAACTCAATCAATTATTTTTGATTCACCCAACTAAAATCGGATTTTAATCGGACAATCGATTTTAATCTGCTCAATNAGAAAATGAAAATATTTCAAAACTTCAAAATCTTATTAATTGTTGGGTTACGCGACCAGCTTGCAGGATACTGCTTATAAGTATCACACAGTATATTAGTGATAGCGTGAAAATATGTGTTACATCAATAATGATTGTGATTAAAATAATGTATTTTAAAAATCCTTAAGGTTTTTGTTCAAAGTTTGAAGTCTGTACTATAATTCATATAAACTCTCATGCCTAACATAGTTTAGGTGATTCACAATGGAATATTACACATCTATTTTGTGATATGAGCGTAGAAGACTGCATACTTGTTCTCATCACGAAAACACATTAATGTAATATATTAACATTCAATGTGAAAGACAAATTACAAAACTTCTTTGTTTTATCCCATTATACACCTGCTCATGCTATAGACATTAGGTAACTTCCTTTTTTTCAAGAACATCAAGACTATACTTACAAAATGTTGACCTTCATTTAATGTTTTAACATGTACATAAATCATTGAATTGGGGCTGATTAATTTAGGTTTTGGAGGTATCTAATACAAAACAAGAAATTTTATTCGTAATAAATATAATTGTTTTACTTTGACTAATGATCGTTTCGGTTTTTTAGATATATTTGTTGATGTGGACTTTGTTACATTACTATTTACCGATAATTTATCATAATCAATTAATAGTAATCGATCACGTTTATCAACTAAACCAGGAAATTTCTACATAAATAAAATGAAATAAATTAAATTGATGAATCAATTTGATTACTTTAATATCATTAACAACAATTCGAGATGCTGCTGATAATGCAGACGAAACACGTTGTTCTTCAAGTGGTGAATGACGTAAACGACTGAAACGAAAATCAGCATCAAGTGCATTGGTAGTCGATATTGATTCGTCAATATCACCACTAAGTTGAATTTCCGAAAATAATGTACGATTATCTCCTGTTGCTTCATCATCATCAATTGCTAAATAACAAAAAATCTTTTTATTTCAAAAAGAAATATAAATTCAAGACACAAGCTTTTTGCATCGTCTGTTTGATTAGAATTCTTTGTTGATATTTTTCGATTATAATCATTTGGATCGAGACGTTTCCATACGTCAAGTGAACCTTTTTTAACAACAAATAAATGCTTCATACGTCGACTATCTTTTGCAATTACTTCTGATTGTCTAATATTAAGAAATAGTTTAAATTTGCAATGAAAAAGTAATGAAACTTCAAAATATACCTAAAATGGCAATGTTGAATTGCATTTGGAATTTCACTTAAATGTTCAACAGGAAAACCATGTAAAAATGGTACATGATTTCTTTTAAAACAAAAAGAAAATATTTTAAAATTATTGTGTAGAGTTATCTTACTTTAGAAATTCTAGATTATCTTTACTGCAATGTCTATCCTTACTCATAAAGATTGATTTAAAATCCTATACAAAAAATAAATATCGTTAAAAATAGTTACACCCATAAATGTTTACATCTTTCCATAGAACTAATAGTTCAATTATTGTTTTTGACACAACAGTAAAATTTTGTGTTGAATCAGTCATTAAACCTTTTTCCTTTAATTAAAATAGAAGTAACATTTTTCAATTGATATTGAAGAAAAATCTTACTCCAAATGTGCATCCTCGTTTTAGAACATCCAATGTTTCAATATTACCATCCGTTGCTCTCTTATATGTTGGAATAGCCGAACCCGATAGAATTATATAAAAACAAGCAGGTCGTTCACCTTGTCGAACAATTGTACGTTGTTTAGGATAACTAATTATAAGAGAATTAAATCGATCCAATAGATGGTACATATGTTATACAAAATATGGCGTTTTATGTTTAGCAGCTATTATTTTTGTGATTAGTTTCTTCTTCTTTTTATAACTTACAATCACAAGCGAAAGTTCCTTTAGGCTATAATTATTTCTCAATTATATGTTATTTACTAGTTGAGAAACTTGAATAAGAACCTTTTAACTTGAAATTTTACCTATATGATTCTTTGAATACTCAAAGTTTTTCCGAAGAATTTTTCTCATTTTATTAAAGAGCAAGAGTTTGAGATCTTTCCTCATCAGATCTAATAATTCAGCAATATTTTTTTTCTATTTAAAAACAAAAAGCTTTGTTCTACTAAAAAAACTCTATTAACTATAACTGAAGTCTACATTTAATTATTTTCAGAAAATTCTTGTGAAAATGAACTTATTTAAAAACTATTGTCTCTTACCTTTCATAGCATCCTAACTGTAATAATTGATCTTGTAATTCTTTTGGTAATCGTGCAAATGGTTTAATATCAGCTAAACATCTTCGAATCTAAATGAGCAAAAAACTGTATTGTCAAGGTAACAAAACAATTGAAAAGAAAACATGTTTTATGAAAATGCTGAATTTCAATTGGCATCATTTCATGCTAAAAATCAAAATAATAATGCATTAATTGATGTCAAATCATACAGAAACGAAAATATATTTTTAAATAATAGCCATCAATATAAACAAAAACAATCGATTATAAATATAATTCTAATTGGCGATAAGAATATTGGTAAAACAAAATTAATAAAACAATTTACTCAACATATATTTCGAAGAAAAACCTCACAAAATACTTCATTAAATATTATTTATAAACATCATAATCAATCAAATGAACAAAAACTTTATTTAAAATTTCATCATATTAATTTAACATATCAAAATGAAACTAATTTGATGTCTATTTGTTCTCGTGCTGATTGTCTTCTATTCGTCTATGATATTAATAATCAAATATCATTCAGTCATCTTATTGATCGTTGTCTACCTTTGATTCAAAACTATGAATCAGAACATATTTGTTCGTATTCATTAATTGGAATTAAACATAAAAATTCTCGATTAGCTAATTATTCTCAAGTAGATATATTTGTTAAAAAATTAAAATTATCTTACTATGAAATAACATCTCTAAGCAATTATGAAGAGCTATTAAAAGAAATTTTAGATAGTTATTTTGAAAAAAAATTAAAAGAAAATAGCTTATTTAATATAATTAAAAAAATCAATAAACTATGTTATTTATATTGATTATAGTTATTAAAATACTTACCTCTTCAGCATTTTCAATGTCACGTTCACCTGTTGATTGTTCGAAAAACTGTTTTACTGCAGGTAAAATTTCGTGCTACGAATTCAAAATTTATTAATGAGAACAAATTCATATTTGTTTTTTCTTACGGATTCAATTTTAAAATTTGATTTATCGAACATGTATTTTTCTGTTGTACCTGCCGTTTGCAAATAAGATTGATAGACCATTGAACGTAACTCATTTCTATTATAATAAAAGAAAGGAAATTGTAGAAATGCGATCTTTTCTCTTGCTTTTATTCATACTTTTTCCGGGCAAAATTACACCAATAAGCTGCGAATGAAGCTAAATTGCCTGCTCGACGAAATTTTGATAGTAATTCACTTTGTAAAGGCTAGAAAAACATCGATAAAAACCAGTAATAAGAAAAACACACACTAATAAATATACTCGGTTTTCATAGAGTGAACGAGTATTTGTTGAATGAAAGCTCAAACTTGATACAACTGACTGATGTCCAACTTTCCCATGTGATGAACGGTCACTTGGAGCAGTTGTTGTACTCGAACTTGATGATATTTTTGCTTGACTTGCAAGCGTATTTGGTGGTGATATAAAACGATGTGGTGTTAAATAAAGAAGATTTTCAAAATAATTTTTCATTGGATGTCCTCCCATTGAAGTTGATGGTGGAGCAGCACTATAACGAAATTCAGATACCGGTTGACTTCTTGAACGAAGAATATTGTTCTGTTGAGATTTGTCTTGATGAACATTGCCTGGTGTAGTCATTGATAAAGTGCTTGATAGTACTTATAACAAAAATAAAAGTAATCAAACTAAAAGCAAATAAATTTTTAATGATAGTTTAATTAAAGAATAAGAAAATTTTATCAATATTTAACTTTTTAAATTTTATTTGATAAAACTGATTGACGAATATTCGTGTAGATTATTTTCCATATGTCAATATAACGGATTTTTATTCTTATCAAATAGAAGAAAAAAAAGCTGAATGTCAAATACTATTGATTCAATAGTATGTATTCAAAGTGAATTTTGAATAAAAAAAGGAATTGTAATGTTACCATCAATTTATGTTTTTTTAACAAAACAAAAAAAGTTGTAAATCTCAAGAACAAAACTCCCATTAAAATTCAAGTAAATATAATAATAAATAATTCCTTTCTTTAATCAAATTGATGTAATGCTCGAAAAAAAATTTTTATGATTATCAAACTACACTACCTCATTAGAATATCTAAAAACTAAATCATACTTTCGAAGACGATGTAACAACGGTTTTTTTTTTCAAAATGTTTTTACTTACAACAAAAATTTGTCGTTGAAAAACAGATGTTAATCGTTCTGATAAAAAAATGTCTAGGTGTTATCTGTGATAAATTTTTACCGTTGCTGTCGCCGTCACTGGTTTTGCTTTTCGTTTCGTTGACACAACAGGTAAGACACTTTTAATCTCTTTTTTTTCTTGCTTTTATATGTTTGACAGAGTCATCACTAAATGATTGACAAAGAGAAAAAAAGTGTGCAAGAACGAAACAAACATCGTTTTCCACTCGAATTTAACGAAACAAAAAAGAATACAACAAAAAAAGTTCTGAAAGTAACATCAACAATTGAGAAGTATATTTTCGTGCCTATGGCAGAAAAATCGAGTTGGTGATAAGGGTAACTGGCTTCTCATTCACAAAGACAAACACATTCTCTCCTGAGAATTTGTTTCATTTCTTTTTCTTTTCAAATAGATGACAATTTTCAGGTGAATGACAAATAAAAAGACTTAATCGTTACAAAAAGAAATGGATCGATACCTTATTTAATTCTCAGGAAGTAAAAACAACAAATTTTCAAGCATGAGACATTAACTGGAATAACACAAAACATTGATATTCAACTATCGATATTATCTTCTTTCCATTGGTTTCTTGTTGGTAAAATGATTATAATTATTAACTAACTTCATAAAAACAAAATGCATAAAAGCAAACAATCATCAAAATTTACTTCAACGTAGGCGATTAACAATTTTGATCAAGAATACTTAGTAAAAATATTCTAAAGCAGAACAATAGTCAGTGATTTCTAGACATTTGACATTTAAGTCGTGCCATAAATATGTCTTCAAAAAAAAAGGTCATGCATCTTAACTTTAGAAATTATACTAATGAATGAGTTTTAAGAAAAAATTTCAATTAAACTTATAAAGTTCTTTGAAAATTACTGTTATTTCTATGAAATACTACAATTTAAAAAAGGCAATAGGTTAATTACTTTAAGGATGAATTTTCTCTTTTTTCTCAAGAAATCGACATAGAAACCAATGTAAGAGTATAAAATATCCAAACTTATTTTTCATAACGACGGATCCTTTGACCAACTTTATTTTATTGTATTTTATTTTATTTTTTGTTGCCGACTGGAAAGTGAACCTCAAGGATACATCAACATAGCAGACAGTTGTTTGTTTAGTTAATCTATGCTGTATGAGATGATGCTTTCAAAAAAACAATAAAGATGTTTATTCAACGTTCTATTGCTAACAAATAAACTCTAGTCTTTACTTCTCATTTATAAGAATTACCTGTTTTGAACACTTTAAATAGTTCAACATTGAACATATTATATTTTGCATAGATTCGATTTCTTCAATATTAAAATTTTATCAAAAAAAAACAAAAGCATAGTTTAAAACACAAACTTCCATATTGAAACACATTGGTATAACATAAAATCCCATATAAAACAAAAGAAAAAAGTTGCGTGCATACAAACATTGGAAGGTGTTTTCTAAAATTCTATACAAATCACGCATTATTGATAATTGTTAGACGATAGAAGCAAAAAATGAGAGAAATATAATAAAATATGATACTGTTAATTTATAACCCTTATTATAATAATATGAATTTTGCTGCCCGTATTTATTAGAATTACGAAAATTGTCATCTTTATTTGGATACCAAGAATTAGCAGCATTTTGATTAGGTCGATTATAAGTATTTGTATTTGACCATGAATTTTTATTCGCATTAGGATCCGTTAATCCACCATAGGTATTACGATTTGGTCCCAGATCGTTATTATTAGGATATTGGTTATTATTTGTGTTTGGCAAAAAAATTTTATTCGCATTCGGATCCATCGGTCCACCATATGTATTACGATTTGGTAATAGATCGTTGTTATAGGAATATTGGTTATTATTTGTGTTTGGCAAAAAATTTTTATTTGCATTAGGATCCGTTAATCCACCATAGCTATTACGATTTGGTCCTAGATCGTTGTTATAAGAATATTGGTTATTATTTGTGTTTGGCAAAAAATTTTTATTCGCATTTGGATCCATCGGTCCACCATATGTGTTACGATTTGGTAATAGATCATTGTTATACGAATATTGATTGTTATTGGTATTTGATGATGCACCATAAAAGTCTTTATTAGTTAAAACTTGATTTGGATTAACTGGATAAGCCATTTGAGAATTGGACGACGGATACAATGAAGTACCAACAGATCCTTTAACTATAAAAAAGAAAAGTTTTTTAATTAAATTTTCTATTTTTGAAATAACCTGGTGAGATAGGATTTCCATATTGATCACGTAAAAGTGGATTTGTACCACTACCAGAATAAAAATTATTTCCATTATATAAAGAATTTAATGATGATTGATCATTTGTTCCATATAATGGCTGTTGTTGTGGACGTTGTAGACCGTATAAATTAACATTTTGTAAAGTATTATCTATATTTGATGATCCCATAGGATTACCATAAATATCTCTTGCGTCTGGATTATTCATACGTATACCCTCTATATTATTATTCGCAGGATAATTAAAGCCTGCAGGTGCACTTGAACCTAAGCCTGCATTCGTACCATACAATGATCCTGATGTTTGACGACGACGACGACGACGGCGACTAGCACTACTATTGATGTCTAAATACAAAAAAAAAATATGCCGTGATGAATAATAAGTCGATGATTCAGTTCGAAAGACATAATCAATTTTAAAAAGAGCTTTCAAGTTAATGAAGAATTTTAATCAGAATTTATAAAATTAATTGCACAATTTAAATTTTAGACATTCAGCTTCTTTTTTATAGATATTAAAATTTAAATGAAATCTTACTGATTTGTAGAACACATACTCACCAGTGATTAGTAATGATTGTACAAGTAGTACGACAATAATTTTATTAGTCGACCACATGATATGTTATTTTAAAAATGATAATATTCTTCTGTTTAGATAATCTGAAAATAATGATAGGTAAAATTTTTGAAATAATTAGAAATCAATATAGATGATGATGTTAATACTTTGATTACATTTCGCGAGAGGTCATCATCGATAGTGGTTGTATGTCTTTTATTTTTTCTATCAAACGAAAATTCATGTAAATAAATATTTATTGACAGTAACTACGTAAAAAGAGAAGCATTTTTCCTTTCTCTGTACTCCTGACCGTTTTTTTTTCTCGTCCCAGTCATTGTCATTAGTTCTACTGTACCATTAAGATGTGCGAAATAAGTACGACAACATTTTTTTTTCTTTTTCTCTGTGCTGTCTCTCGGTCTTTTTTGTTGTTGTCTACACAGCTAGGAACATGTATCCAATGCCATTATTAACTGGTACCCGTTATTCGTTAGTCTTTCACCTTCAAATGCCTTCGAGAAATGCAATAATAAACATAATTATGCAGATTTGCTATATCTATACCCTTTTTTTTCTTTCCTTCGTTATAGCTTCTCTCTTTATTTTTAAGCATTTTTTTTTGGCCTCCTTATTGCTATAAGAGAACGAAGTTAATTGTCTACAATCGTCAATTTCTTTCATATGATAGGCGTTATTTATGGATGAAAAAAAAGGAGGAAAAACTGATTTGAATAACATTCTCTCTCTCTTTTTTTTGTTTATGAGAATAAATTAGTAATCGTAAAAAAGAAAATGCCTCAAAGAAAACTTCAAAACGTTGACTAACAGACAAAAATTATTTTGAAGAAAATGAAAAAACAATAATTGAGTTAAGAGATATCTCTTGTTTTTTCCAGCAATATTGACTGATATAGATAACAAATTCAATGATTTCAATAGATCTTCAAGCCAATTGAATTAAATTTTAATAAAGAAAACAAACAAAAAAAAAAAACTTTTACAATTTCATAAGCGAATAAATGGCAATTGTCAAGTGTATGTCATTTAAATCATATGAATAAAATTATTTGTAACAATTACAAATAAAATAAGTCTTTAGAATACGAGAATCAACATGCCATATCTATAGATGTTCTTAAACTTTTCGCTTGACTCGTGGGCTACCTGCAACCGATTTGCCTGAAGGTACCGGTGAATTTAGCCCAACAGAATTGCGATTAACACTATCACCTGACCGTCCTTGGAAAGGAACATTTCGAAATGATCGATACCACTGATAATTTGGAAGAATTAAACCACTACCTGTTCCACCTGTATAATATTGATCAATATTCCCTTGTTGCCAATTAGGATATCGATTATTAAATCCTGTAGGTGCATAACCATATGAAAGTGTTCCATATGCTCCATATAGTCCACTACCATAGGTGCTACCTAAATTTGGAAATTCATAAGTCTGACTTATTCCAGACGGATACTGATTATTATAATCAGACGGATATGCTGGACCATATTGACTTAAACCAGTACCGTAATAATTCGTATAAGCAGATTGATCTCCATTATAGCCGGTATATGAAGTACCATAATTAGGAGCATTATAATATGAACCTGATGGATATGTTAAAGGTGATGATGGAGAATAAGAGCCGGAATATGGATTTACATCTGAGATATAATAACTTGCTGATGATAATTGACGTCGTTTACGACGCACACGAGCATCTACAACTATTATAAATACTTCATACTTATTATTCATGATCAAAAGAATCAAGTTAGATAGCTTACAGGTAGCTGATATGATCAAAAGCAATAAGATCACTTTTACCATTGGCATTGCTTTACACGAACAAATATATGTATGAATACTTATATATATATATACGTAAAATGATTATAATATATATGTACAGTTATATTAAAGTTTACACAAATATTTATTCTTGATTGGTTCGATTTTTCTCACATTCTCTCTTTCGATACAAAAAATGCATCGATCTACACATAAAAAAGCTCGGCTTGATTTTTCTTTTGCTTCCACTATGTGATCCCTTTTTTGTAACTACATTTGCCTTGACAAGTATACATACATATGACCATGTAATTTTTCTACATCCAAAGTGTTACTTTATGTATTCATACGATTTATATCGATTTAAGAAATTGAATTAAATTTTTTTCTCTTTTTTTATATTGTTAAAAAAAACGAATGCATATAATGCAACAAAAACATATACATATATAAATAGGACTATCAAAATGAATTTCACGTCAGGTTTTTTTCGTATCACATTAGATAACAGCAATTAAGTTTTATATATTTATGCGTAAGTCGTGTTTGGAATATTTTCAAAGGCAACGATGATCATGATATCTATTATGCAACTTTTTGATTTACAAGGTCAATTGTATCCGGCGATACTGTATTTGTATGCATCATTCGTTCGATAATATCATTCTAAATGAAAGTTAGAATAAGATAATCTAATCATTTTAATATTGGTTTCATTTACCATAGGTTGATAGTTATTGTCGATTGGTAAATAATCTTTCGAGCCAATTTGATCATTGTTAGGTGATATGAAAGGAACGTCCATCCCTGACTAAAAATATAAAATACCACATTGTTATATAAAACAAAGCTGTCGGTTACAATATTTGCTTCTTCAGTGTAACGATCATTAGTTAAACGTCTATTGGATGTATCTTGCATCTCCTAAACAGAATGCAAAATGCACTCATTATCATAAAAAGCCAAAGTTTTACTATGAAATTCGATCGAAAATTTATGCTTTTTTTTGTTTAAGTGTTTTTCAAAGGCAAAAATTTATATTTGAGTGTTTTGTAGTTTATGATAAAAATTTTCAATGATAAAAAGTAATACTGTTCTTTTAGTTATAAAGAATTTAAAATTAAATTCTTGAAAACTTTTTTTTTCATTATTTATAACGTAATTGATTAATTTCAAGATACTAACCCAAAGTTGACCTGTCAAAACTACTGTCCTAGAATCAATAGATTGTTTGCCCTATAAGAGAGAAACTAAGTTTAGTACTACAATTGAATTCATTTATGATATGATTATTAATTAACAGAGAAAAAAACTTACATGTGATCTACAGATCGATGAGATCTTTTCAGTACAAAATCTATTTTTACGAATGACACTTCTAAAGCAAAATAATCATCTATAAGAAATTTTGCTTTCATAAATACGTACATAATCAAAATCAATATGATAACTACACCAAGAAGGATGAATCCACCAATCCAAAAGATAAATTTATTTGTTTCTAAACAGTGAAAATTAATTTACTAAATATCTACAGTAAATATACCTTTAGTTTTGATTGTATGACATATTTCTTTTTTAAATGAGTGATCAGTTCGTTCATAATAACAATGAAGACAAATTTTATATTGTGTTGATGGACGAAGATGATTAATCAGAATCGTTTGATCTGATGTTACCATGATATCCTAGAAAATAATCTTCTTTGATGTTTTATAGTACTAATAAATTTCTAACCCGAACTGCTGTTAATGTCGTTTGATTATCTACTGAATGAAAATGCCCAGAACATAAACGTTCACTTATCAATCCTGTATTATTATGTTTAATCACAATAGTTAAGTGATTACTCGATACATTTTCTATTCGAAAATCGACTTTAGTTGTATGTACTAGAAGTTAAATAGAAAAGTTTATCGTTTGCAAAAAACAAGCTACCATAGTTCGTACTAGGTTGAATATGAAATTTGTAATAAGCTGAATCGAAACGTCGTAATGTCATATTTACATTCATTGAAATTTTCTTTGGAATTCGATTTTTTTCACGAGGTACAAGGTTAAAGACAAGTTCATTTTCATCGGTAATATTAACGAGTTCTGGTGAATGATATTCTGTTCTAAACAAAAAGAAAAAGAGTAACTTTTAAATATTAATTTAAATCTACTCAGAAGTAGATTCCGAAAATTGATAAAGTCGAGGAAAACCATTTTGAAATGCACGTGCAATTATTGGTGCATGAAATATACATTGCACATAACGACGATCATATGCTTGACAAGATTCGTTCATTTGAATAAGGCCAGGTTTTTCTATAAAGAACGTTTTTTTCTTTGATTGTTAAGAAAAAATAAATAGTTATTCATATTTTTTATTATTTCTATTCTAGGATAACAGTATTTTATGACAACTTAAGTATTTCATGCTCAATATATGACATTGATTTTGATTTACATGAAAGAAAAACAAATTTTTCTTTTGAATATTCTATGCTTCAAATAGCTTTGATATCAAACACTTATGATATATTATGGTGTAATAAAAAAAACAAAAAAAGATTTATGATTTTAATTTATTTGTACTAGAATGAAAAGATTTCAATTTTCATAACTAAAATAAAAAAAACATAATTTCTGAGGCTTCCAATGATACAAAAATACAACGGATAGTACTAAAAAACAAAATGCACCGCAATTTGATCATACTACTCCCCTTATTCATTTTCTGTCATTGCATCTTATCGAATGTAAGAAAAGAAAAGAATATTCTAATCTTTTTTTAAATACATGATTAGTAGAGCGTAGCTAAAGTTTAAATCATGACCATAGAAAAAGAAAAATATTATGATCGAAAGTTTTCTTAATTTTTTTATATTATGTAGAATTTCTAATTTAAAAAAATGCTTTATTCTTCTTTATTTTAATACCTCCAATTATAAGATCAACTGCTTGACCATTGCTAATATTATTACTCCAATGGCAAATAATGCGATTAACACCAATATAACCATTTGGAATAATACGAATACGTATAGTAGTAGAATTAGCTTGTTCAGTTTTTATTTCAAATGCTGGAGAAGTTGAAACTGGCTTATCAATCGATGCCATCAATTTGTTACGTTGCTTATCTAATTCAACTCGACTAGAACAATAGAAAATACGTTCTTTATCTTTTGAATTAATTACCAATTCTACTTCATCTAAATTTTAAAAAAAAATGGATGTTCATTGATAATGTATTTCAAAATAAAATTTTGAACAATACCAATTATTAGATCTTTGATATCATGAAATATTAATGCATTATGATCATCATATTTGCTTTGAGCAATAATAAGACATATCATATTTAAATAAATTATTGATTTTATTGAAAAATATGTATACATTGAGAATTGATAAAATCTTGTTATCATAAGTTAAGAAGAAAAAAAAACGTTACGATATCGTTTGCGATTGTCTGTAATACGATAGTGCTGCTTGTTTCTTTTCTCTTCTTTTTCTTTGTCCTTGTGTGCATGAGAGTGTCAATAATACTGACATAGAAAGCATTTCGTCGATAAAAGGTAAAAAAAAAGAATAGTTTTGTTTTATCATAGTCGAAAAAAGTTTTGACTTCGCGGAATATATAGTTAAAATTTATCACGAAAGTATATATTTTTAATCATTTTCTTATAAAATATTAAACATACTTTTATTAATATAAATATGTAATGAATAATAATGACAACTCATCTTAACTCATACTATTAATAAAATATAAATTTCTTTTGATTTTTTCCATTTACTCAAATAATATACAAAAAAAACAAGAAAAGGTAAACAGTCATACAGTTTCGAAGAAAGAAATAAGATTTTTTGTCGTGGAAAAGTAATGCGCACATTTATTTTTTTCACCTTTCCTAGAATTCAAAAATAGAGCCTAATGTCGACCCTATTAAAAAAAACTCGAATCAATCCGACTGTAATACAAATGCTATTCTGCATAACAAAAAAAAACAGTTAAACATCTAATATCATTTTTTATCAAAATTCGTTCGACTTGTTTTGCAATCAATGGACATTGTTCCATCGATGAATATAATACCCAATGAACTGAGACGTTCTTGACAAATCTCATTTGATTCATAAGCCAACATAGTAGTAACAACGTCAGTTGGAAGTGTTGGAGCAAACCTTAAAGAAAACAAAAACCAAATTCTCTTTCTAATTTCAACTTTGATGAATACGAACCCCCAAATTAAAATCTGAATCATTTGTTTACGATAAATATCAATGAAAAAATTTACTAAACAACAAGCAAGTCTAGGTAAAGATTTATAGAGTCTAAATAATTGAATATAATCTTTTCGACGACATGATGAACAAAAGTCAAGAACAACATTAAGATTGTTTGATTTTTCTGTTGATATGTTTACTTCATCAATTTCAATAAGAATTCGATTTGCTTCTAATAAACAAAAATTTATAAAAAAACAATAATAATAATAATAACGGGTGTGGCAAAAGTTTTGCATTAATTTTATTTTTGATATAACTCTGTGATGGAATGTCGTAGAGACTTGATTGTTTTTTTTTTGTTAGAAAGAGCAAAGTGTCTAGTACAAAAAATGTATAAAAGAATTTGATTGAAAATGTTTTTCTAAGACCACAACAATCTTAGAACAGAAGGCGTCAGAAAACTCTTCCGCAAATTTTTTGAACTGAGAAAAAATTTCCTATAATTAGACAGATTCTCTTTTTATTCGTCTAATGCAGATTTTATAATGTAAGGATAGAGTACTATTGCTTTACAAAAAAAGAAATTTTCTACATGTTTTATAATAGTAGAAATGAAGGCTTTTATGATACCGTCTAAGTCACCGATTTTTCATTACTGTTGATAGCAGTCGAAAAAATAAACTCTATTTCGCAAGAGAGGTTGCCAGAAGCTATATATTTTATATGAAAAAGAAAACTTATTGAGTTCTCTACCAAACGATATTATTTGGAATTGGACACAACTTCTCTGTGAGATATTCAGACAAGAATTGGTTTTCCCGATGCAAAACCAAATTCGAACAATTAATTTTTTTTAATCAAATTGTCTTTCGTTCATTCTCTTGTATGTTATACCAATTATTTTAATACCAAATGAAAGCCTTCGTTGTACTGAACAACTGTATATATATATATATATGGTGCTCAAAAGCGTCGAAAGTGGATAATGAAAAAGTTCAAACAAATATTTTTGGATAAAAAATATTTGACCAAAGTTGCGGAAGAATTTTTCCAAGCCTTGTGTTCTAAGATTATTGTGGCCTTCGAAAAACATTTCCAATCAAATTCTTTTATATATTTTTGTACTAGACACTTTACTCTTTCTAACAAAAAAAACAATCAAATCTCTGCGACATTGCGTTCCAGAGTTATATCAAAAACAAAATTAATGCAAAACTTTTGCCCCACCCGTTACTATTATGATTACTTTTATCATCATTAAGTAACAATGAATAGAGTAAACGATAAATAAGGAATTCAATTAAATGAGTAGGATTACAACCACTATCATATAAAAGTTCTAATTGTGTTTGACATTGAATAAACTGATCAAGATCACTCTAAAATAAAATATTTTCAAAAGAAAAAACAGTAAAATTCTTTTTAACAGTCATAAATACCATTTCAAGTGCTATTCGAGCATTTTCTTCATAAACTAATACTGAAAAATCATTTCGTATTGATTGTACCATAAGATCTTGTCGAATACTTTTTAATTGATTACTAATATATGACCAATCATTGTTTGATTTATATTTATTTAAAACAAAAGAAAATGCTTGTTCAAGAATTGCTAATGGTCGAATTGTTGATGGATTGGGCGCCTAAAAGAAAAAAATTAATTTTCAATACCAAAAACAAAAAATAAATAAATTTACACTTGTTAAACGAAGATAATTCTTTTCTAATTTTTCACATGTGCCTATCAAAGGTTGATTTGTTTCATTTATTAATTGAATCTATAAAATAAACTATTCCATATATATAAATTCAAACAATTATTTTTACTGCTTTATTAGTTATAGACGTTGGCTGATTTGTAAAACGAATTCGTCGTCGTTCTAATAGTTTGTGTTCTTCAGATTCTGAACTAACAAAAGATAAAATTACAAAAATAAATTCAAATTTCCAATCATTACTCTTTAGGAATAAACGATGATTGCATTGTTTTTTATTTTTTTCAAAGTTTACAATTATTATTGAATATTTCAATAAAAAAAATCTAGAATACTCATTTTGTTAAAAAAAATTATTTTGGATTTTTTAATTTATTTCCTAAGGAAAAACAATCTTTTGAAATACATTACATTTTATTTTCTGGAATAATAAAAAGCTGTACAGATGAATTAAACATAAAATTGAACTATCGAATATTTGTTCATTAACGATATTCTTCGATGAAAGTTGAATAAGTTTAAATAGGCATGATTTTAACATAACAAGAAAATATATTAAATTGTTTATATTTGGTATTTATCAAAGAAACTCAAACCATTTGACAACGATCGTCTTATTAGATTTGTTTATCTTTCGAATTATTTCAAAAAGCCACAAACGAATAAAAGTTAACACTAATTGAGAATAATTCTCTCACAGGTTCGAAAACCAATGAAAAATTCTAATTTCATTTTGTACTTGATTATTAACCGATGGTACAGAATCTTGACTGATTGATAAAGTTCTTTTGGATAAAACATAGAACATAGTTCCTATTCATTATATCACAATTATGACACTAAAATTCGACGACAATATAACATCGACATTGTTTTTTGAAATTTTGCGCAAAACTGTTTAGTAATAGTCAGGTATTAGTTTGCCATATTGAATAAATATGTAGATGGAGATTAAATCGAAAAAAAGCGTTTAAATAAAAAAAGCCAAGCAAACATTTTTGTCATTCTTTCCAGATGTCATGGTTTTCTGTACAAGTTTCCAATTGGTTGGATAAAGTCTCCAGTCACTAAATAGACTACGTATTTGCCTCTTTTTTTTCATTTCAGTTCTGAAAATTGGAAAAGGAAAAGAAAAAAAGAAATGTTTTGCTTTCAAGTATTATAAAGAAGCAAAATTTCTAAATGAAAGGAATTATTTTAATTCAAATCCAAATAAAACGAAATTATTCATTTTCTTTTTTTTCTTATTTTGGTTTTTTTGTAAATGATCACATCAATGTACTCTATAGGGAAAATAATATATCGGAATTACTATCTTGTTTTATTATCAAATGAAGTCATAACTATTATAATATATTGATCAGACCTAAAAACTAGACAAAAGTTATTTGATATTCTACTTATAATTCTCTAAAGAATATTTAGCATCTGTTTGATTTGACTGCTCAACATGTGTGTGAAAAAAAAGAAAAAACAAAACAGAACAAGTAACCTGTTCTTGATTATTCATGTGCTTTTTTTATTGGGAAGGAGGTACTCGTGCTATCTACACTGATGATTCTTTTTCTTAGTCTTTTTTTCCTTCTTCTGTGTTATTTGGTCGTGTAAAGGGCAATAAAAAAGCGCACAAATGCTTTTTTTTTCTTCTTCTGTCTGTGTGTATGCTGTTGTTGCAGAAAAATATCGGGTAAAAAAACCGAACATCGTCGCCGTCGTCGTCGACGACGAGACAAAAACGAGTTTATAACAAGAATCAATTCTTTTTTTTCCTATATGCGTATGTATATTTTTAACAAGTTGATAAATATATTATAATGGATATGTTTTTCTTCTGAGTAGAAAGAAAAAAAACAAACGTCAGAAATATTAAAAGGTTTTCTTCTACCTATCTATTATTATTCATGCAGAACAACAAAAGTATGGGTATATTTTGTGCAGTTACTTAGGCTTTTCATATTTTTCTCATATTATACACCTGATGAATTAGAATTTCTAACGATTACTATATACATGAATCGCTTGACTGCTTTTATTAATAATTTTTTCCCATATATATGCTTTGGAAGAAAAAAAAGAATTTATGTTTTTATTAAAATTACTATTAGTAAACGAACAAATGCATGAATCATGTTGTTGTTTTTTCTTCTTCTATTCTTTAGTAATGGTGTCATATAATATTTTCCTTTCAGATTTATTTATTTATTTATTTATTAATCAGACGATTTATTTATTATTTGACAGAGATACACGCGACGCATTTGCTTACCTAAATATATATATATATATAAATTGAGCCAACCCCCGTTGTATTTATCTTTCAATAGAAGGTTATATGACATCTTACTAACACATTTCAAAGTCAGGTAAATTATTTCGTTATCTTCAATCATTTATACAACAAAATTGAAATAATAGTAGTTTTATTATCAAAAAAACAACGAACGTCAAAAAGAAAAATGTTTCTTATTCATTTTTGAATTTGTAATATCAAATGGTGATACTTGCTGTTGTCAGAATGAATCATCTGACCAAAGCAAGTCCAGTTATAACAAACCCAAATTCATTAACAACAGATGATTATAGTACGCAATCAACAGCAAATGATGATAGTACACCATCAACAGCTAATTCTGAAAAAATGCTTCTCTTAAACGGAAATATACCGCCAGAACCAACAACACCATGTGTATTAAATACACCAAATACTTGTACAAAAAATTCAACATTTTTTTATGAAATTCCATCTAATGTGCATACATCAACATTAACCGGTAAAATTTTTTTTTTCTCTATACTATTTAGAACAACTAAGTAACAAGAAGAAAAAAAAGATTTCTAAACATTTCTAATATTTATATGTATAAACAGTTGTTTTTTCCTTGTTTCTCTTCAACATGTCATATCGTTTTATAAAAGAAAAAAAAACGATTAGCTATGTTTTCATGTAAATTATCTTCAATGATGCAGTGTTATAAACTATATATATAACGGTAACGATGATTTGACAATAATTGTCATAAGTAAATATCCAATGTCGATATGGTTAATTTATGTTATCTAATATATCACTACAGAATCAAATAGTCGGCAAGTGTGTATATTGTACTCAAGGTTTTTCTACCTTGGTCTATTTATACACATTCTAATATGATTTCATCAAGTCTATTCATTTTTGTTTAGATAAAATATATAGCCTTTATTTAGAAAGCAAAAAAGATTAGCATTCTAATCACGTAATTGTCACTCATCAGTTTTAGTAGCAAAATAGAAATATTTTATGTCCTTGAATGTCTATTTTTTTTCTTGTTTGATATTATTTTGAATTTATGGATAATTGTATTAATGAAAACAAAAAAAAAACGACAATAACAAAAAACATATCAGTTCAGAATAATAAATAGACACGAGAGATACTATCTGTGTCTCATTAGGAACAATATCAAAGCATAAGTCATGTCTGTTATTTTGGGAGAATGCAAAAGAAAGAGAGAGACAACCTTGGTACAGATAATGATTAACAACATAAGCAAGTAGCGTTAGTGATGACAGGCAACGATGCTTATTCAGTCAGTTGTTATCTTCTATTCTGTTTGAAATGAATATTTATTTCCTATAGCAAATAGTTATAAGTAATATATTGTATTCGATATGTATTAGTACTATAATAGTATTTGTTAATTTAATTTTTTTTTTCGTTTTTTTTATATTCTATTGTGTCATCAACAGGTTAATATTTGTTAATGTCTGTATTTGTAGATAAGATGATGATTATCTTTTGATTATCATATTGAGAATCTGTTCAAATTCTATTTTTCTTCTTCTTCTTCGGATTTATATTATCGATCTCAATCCGAATGAATAAAAAAAAAAAGCAAAGAAAAGAAAATCCTCGAACTTCTTTCGTATTCGTTGAACTCCTATTACTACCAAGTGTATAATCCACCTTTGCGATAGAGAAAGAATTGTAAAAGGGCGTGTTTGCGCTGAGCTTGCTGCTTTTGTTGACACGAGGTCTTAGCACAACGAGGACGATTCGCTCGTTTCTTCTGCTTTAATTGATGTTACTACAGCTCTTTTTTTGGGTCGATCGAAAAGAAAAGGTTTCATCATCAAGTAGAATAGCACCAGTCGAAAAGAAGAAGGAGAACGAGAGAGAGAGAGAGAGAGAGAGAGAGAAAGAGAAAGAGAAAAGAAGGGACAAAAAAAGCGTTTATCCGTCATTATCATTCAATTGTAATCGGTCGTTCATTCGGTGTTATTTCCGTTGACGAACTAGAAACAGGTATGTCTGATGATTTTGATCCAATATTATTAAACACAGATGAAGAAAATATTGTCCATGATGCTTGTGTAAAATATGAAAATGGTTCACCAATAGATGGTTTGAGTTCGTTTAAATTGAATTTATAAGTAAACGGATTGAAGAAGAATTTCGAATCGTTATTTAATGTTGGTGAAACAATTAATGATAATGGGTTCGATGTGGGCATGTTTTCTTTTTTTGTTTATGTTATTAAAAATAATGGCGCGTCACCTTTTCTATTGAATCAATAAGAAGTTTTTAAAACTATATTAAGTGAATAGAATTTTTTTCTTATTCATTCTTATGATCAAATAAACGTGCTTAGAAGTTAAAATGTTAGTCATTCTCATCTATACATATGCTGGGTCATCTATTGATTTGACAGTGCATATCAAAAACGTCTAATCGATCTCATTCCATTCATTTATTCCTTTTCTTTTATTACTGTCACACCAAAATAACACTACGTAATTTTTATATTTTTAGACACCCAATCACTAACTGTTTCACTACTTACTCAATCACTGGGTCAACCACCATCTTCTTCATTATCAGATTCATCGTCTTCTATTGATATATTACAATCTCATCAAAATTCTTCAAATCAACTTTTAACATCTTCATCAACATCATCATCATCTATTCCATTAATAGTTGTTACTAGTAGATCAAAATTATCAAACGTTGTTGATGTATCATCACCATCATCATCATCATCGGATATCCATGACGATAGAAAAATGCAATTACCACGTAGTTTAATTAATGAAAATAAGCCATATCCATTAAATTTACAATTAAAAAAATCTATTCCACATATAACAACATCACCACCATCGTCATCATCAAAAACTTTAATTAAAAATTCAAATTTAAGTGATACAAATACTAAAAATGATCTTGATGTCGCAAGTGTTAATGATCAAATTCATACATTATTAACATCAAATCCAGTTGTTACAGATTATAGTATCAATCCATCGAACAGTACAACATCAGTATCAAATTCTCTAACAGTACCACCATCAACAACAACAAATGAAACAACAATGAATTATGTTGATCAATCTCATTATGTTTCATATGGAACACATCAAGCGCCTCCGTCCTATCATGAAGCTGTAGTTAAACCACCAACATCTATTAATAATTTTATGCCAACATTAAATTTAAATGGTACCGGTCTTTCATATGGTAAAACAACAGGAACAAATGATTGGACAACTACATCAACAAATACATTTAATATACAAACACCATTAATATCATCGTGTGTTAAAAATGAGCCACAAGATTATCCAACAACAATTGCTAATGGTCAACCAATACAGTTTGCTAAACCAAAAAATTATCCAAATAGACCATCAAAAACTCCATTACATGAAAGACCATTCCCATGTCCTATTGAACATTGCCCAAGAAGATTTTCACGATCAGATGAATTAACAAGGTGATATATTTACTGAAAAAAATTAATTTTAATTTATTAAATTTGATCTTTTTTTTCTTATTTTTTCTAGACATATTCGAATACATACAGGAGATAAACCATTTCAATGTAAAATTTGTGCTCGAGCATTTTCAAGATCCGATCATTTAACAACACATATTCGAACACATACTGGAGGTAAAAACAATAAGAAATCAAATTTCTAATTTCTTTTTCTTTTTTTTTGTTTTAAGAAAAACCATTTTCTTGTGATACATGTGGTCGTCGTTTTGCTCGATCAGATGAACGTAAACGCCATGGAAAAGTTCATCAAAAAACTCGTAATACAAATCTAATTCATCATCCATTAACAAGATCACCGCAACAATTTAATTCATTAACAATGTTACCTCATAGTTTAATTCCAAGTATGAATGAAGATGATCAAACTAATGATGATATGGGTGATGATGTTGATGATAGTTCATCACAACATAGTGCTAATGATTTATCTGAACAACAACAACACCAGCATCAACAACAATTTTTATGCCAACCACATCCAATTCATCTCTCGGCTCATTGGGGATGATAATACTTGTATACATAGAAGCATTGTGTTTTTTTATTTTCTTTTAAATAATTATTATATTGACACTCAGATAGGAAAAGAAAAAGAAATATTCTTTGAAAGAACAGTGACTTGTATTCTCTTTCTTTCTTTTTTTGTGAGTGTAGAGACAGTGATATGATCAAATAATGTGTTTTTCGTTTTTCTTTCTTTTTTTTCTAATATCTTCTTTATTCGTATGTACAGTACATCTCGCAGTGAGCCTATTCTATGTTTTGCTTCTTTTCTCTCTTTGTGTTGATATTTTAGTTTTTGAACATCTTGTATTTTCGCAAACACTCTTGTTTTTTTTTGGGTGTTTTCTACTTCATTATATACTGTTCTGTCACAGTCATCATCATTCTATTTTCAAGTGTGTTATACGTATATATATACATATATATATATATGTATGTTTGTTGATTTACTTTCATTAACCATCATCTATATGTTTGGTTTTTGTTTTTTCTAAACACCTTTCATGATGATGTAATGAATTCTTGTGTCTCTATTTTTTTGTTCGCAGAACTGATATAACAAAAAAAATGTGTGAAAAAAATTAGAAGAAGAAAACAAAAAAAAGAGAAATTCTAAATAATCTTACATTTGTTTTCTTTTATTTGTTAGGAATACAAAGATTAGAAAAAGAAATACAAAGACGAATGTTATTCTATATTTGATGATGAATCAGTATGTGTTTGTGAATCGAAACGTGGTAATTGAGGAGTATCAGATGATGAATGATCAGATGCTATTGTATTTGATGAAATTTCTAATGAATCTATTGTTTTAACTGGTGCATATGAACTCATAGTATTACTAGAAGGTATATCAGTTTGTTGTTGTTGTTGTCCGAATGTTCTAGAAAATACTTGTTGCATCCAACGATTATTGTATATTGAAGTTGGTGTTCGTTGAATCGATGGCATTAACGTTGTTCGACACATTGGACAATTACCATGATGAAGAAGCCATTCTGTTAAACAATTTGTATGAAATACATGATGACATATTGGTAATTGTTTCACTTCCGATAATTGATTGAAATTTTCGAGACAAATAGCACATGATGGATTAACTGAGAGATTTGATGGAGTCACTAAAATTTTATTAGATTGTGATAGAGAAATTTGTTTGTAAAAGAAAAAGATTTGAGGATAATGAAATCTTAAGAGTATTGACAAAATCGAAATTTTCTAGCAATTCACGAGATAACTACCCAAACTGATGCTCAGTATTTGAGCTCATATTGGATGTTTACAGGAAAGTCTCGGTAAGACTCGAAAAACCTTAAAAGGGTACGTCAAGTAAAAGAATTTCCACATGAAATTTTCCCCATGAATAGGTCCGATGACTCTGGAAACATCCTGAAAGTTTTAGCCTGAAAAAATGTTCTCTGTCAAGATATTGAATTTCCAAAAAGTGGTTGTTTGCCACAAAAATTAAGTGTACTTGAAAATTCAATATCTCGATAAATAAACACTTTCGAATGAAACTTTCAGGATGTTTCCAGATACATCAGATTTATCCATAAAAAAAATTTCAAATCAAAAATCCATTATTTGATTTTTCAATAAATACTTTAAACTGAATCAAAAATTCAACGAAATGGTCATAACTCGATTTCAGAGGTCCATGAACACGAACTTTTTTTAGACACTTTCTAGTCTTACCGAGATCTTTTTGAGGCCCCAATATGAGCTGAAACGTCGAATATGAGTTCGGGTATTTCTCTCGTTAGAATTCCATAATAAAAATTTATTATGATTCGACAGGGTGATAGAACAACTAATTCTCTAGAAAATGACATGTCTTCGAACTTTCCATGACATTCTTTGACTGAACTACATCAATTTTAAGCATTGTGTGCAGTTTTCCCATAGGAAATATTGCAAAAAAAAGAACACTTTTGGGCTTCTCTAAACATTGATGTAGTTCAATCAAAGAATATTATAGAGAGCTGTGAAACATCTCATTTTCTAGAGAATTAGTTGTTCTATCACCATGTCTAATCAAAAGAAATTTTTATTTTAGAGTTTTGAGTGCTGAAAAAATAGGTTTTAAGTTTTGGGAATACTGTGAGGATTTCATTTTGCTCAAATCTTTTGTTTTTTGGAAAGAAATTTCTCTATTTGGAGCCACTGTCAATAAACTTTAATTATTATAATTTGAATCAATATTAAAAATGAATAATAAAGTAGAATGACTGGGAAAAAAATCTCTTTATGTAAAACAAAGTTTGTCTTTGATCTTTCCTGATAATACATATGCGTGACTACTTTTCGAGACATTAAAAGATTATTTTATTTTTTCGGATGTATCCTTAGGCTTCATTATTAATTGAATATGCTTAATGTTAATTCTATATTTTTCCAGATCATTCCATCTCTTTATATTATATTATGTATTAATAATTAATATAAAGTAAATAAATAAATAAATAAATAAATTTCAAGCTCACGAGTTAGTGTAGGTAATTGATTAATATCATTTCTTGTCAAAGGTAAAGCACCGATATCATCATTTATTAATTGTATTAATATTTCTGGATTAAAATTTTCTCCATTATGATCAAGAAGAAGAAAATTTAATGGTAATTGAACAAGAGCCATATTTGGTTCATGTTGAGTATTTAATGGTTGTCCCGATACTAATCCATTGATATTTAAGAGTGATATTTGAGATGTTTGAGTATTAATAATTTGAAATGGTAAGAAATCAAGAAAAGGTATATATCGATGTCGTGGTAGAGAATGTGTAATACGTTTAATACGTCGCGGTGGTCTATCACGACGATGACGATGTTGTAAGCTATTTGTTTGTGTTTGAGACATGAGCACTGGTAATAGCATATTAGTAAAGGATTGTATATCATAAGTATTATTAAATAAATTTTCAAAGTCATCAATTGATGCTATTTGTTGATGATCATTATCATTTGATGATTGTTGAGTATTATGAGTTCCTATAGAAATTTCTTCGAGAAATTCTGATTGACATTGTATGCATCTAGTTTCATTGGTATTTATTGTACCACAATTATGACATAAATAATTTGATATAGGAGAATGATCGTTGGGAGTGGACATTAAATAGAAATAAATATTCGATTAATTAAATAGAGCGCCATAGTTTTATTGCTGATATTCAATTTTTCTAATTTTATTAATTTGTCTGCTTTAGATAACTAAAGATTGGATCGAAAATTTCTAGGTAAGATGTTTGACTATTTTTCGAGTATTTAAATGCATTGGTAGTCTATTTGAATTAGAATTTTGTGTTCTTTCACAATATATATGTTTAGAATTTTCTACGATTTTTGACTATTGAAGTGTAAGTGAATCTTATCGACTATATTAGAAGATACAGAAAATAATTCTCTATAAAGCGGTAAACTTTTGCAAACTGTTGAGGTCCAGCAATAAAGTCTATCGAAAGAAAAATGGATATATTTTAATTTTTGCGTTTACAGCACAAAATGATCCTTCCTCATAACCCTGCCATTTTTTAGCAGATTAACAACAACTCTTCATTCTTGCGTCATTTTGAAGTGTAGAGACCAACCTTAAGTAGTGAGATATTTATAGAACTTATTTTAGGTAGACTTGTCTTTAGGAACAAAATTTGTTTTGAGTTCAGTCAAGATTTATTCTAGCTCAATAGTGATAGAAACATTCTAAATATATATTCTGAAAGAGCACAAAACTCTAATTCTAATACACTATCAATGCATTTAAATAAGCTAAAAAAATAGTCAAAGTATTTTGTCTAGAAACTATCGATTCATCCCTTATCACCAATCGACAGATGCCCTTGTATATTGTCTTAATAGAATTCACGTTTTTATGTTGCATGACTGGTTAAAAAGAATCGATGAAAATAAATAATAATAATAATTTTTTTGTTTTTAGAAATTTACAAATGCCAGAAGAATTTAATGATCTTCATGGTATGGCACCAGATTCAAATGATATAGCATTATTACTTATTGATGTTATTAATCATCTAGATTTCGAACAAAATGAAGGTTTAATATAAAGACATTTTCGTTCTAATTCAATGAATTTTTCTTTAATAAAATTATTGAAAGTAGTTTGAAAAAATCGGTCCACATATTTTTGAATTCAAAGAAGCAGCACGTAAAGCCAATATACCAATAATTTATGTTAATGATAATTTTGGTAAATGGAAATCAGATTTTCATAATGTTATTGAATATGTTATTAATGAAAATAAACCTGGTAAACATTAGGTCAACTATTACATCCACAAGAAAATGATTGTAATTTTTAATAAATAGATATTTTTTTTTAAATAAGTGTTTTTATTATTATTATTTAGATTTTGTTCTTAAACCAAAACATTCAGGTTTTTATTGTACTCCACTTGATCTATTACTCAATCATTTAGATACAGAAACATTAATTCTTGCTGGTTTTGCTGGAAATATATGTGTTTTATTAACAGCTAATGATGGTTATATGAGAAATTATAAATTAATTGTTCCAAGCGACTATATTGGATCAAATACAATTAAAGTAAACTGCTGTTTTTTGTGAAAAAAATTATTTGAACGTGTTTTCTTTCATAGAAAAATTATGCTTGTTTGGAACAAATGAAGAAACTACTTAAAGCAGATACAAGATCATCAATTGATATAATAAAAGAAATTGAAAAAATGCCAAAAAATAAAAAGAATGATGAAAAACGGGCAAAAACATGAAAAATAGTTATTAAAACATAGAAAGCTCCTTTTCATTGATATATATCTAGTCGAGCCATAAGTTTTCTATTGTTATCATATTTTTATACTAGGAATTACTTTATTTTATTTATTATTAGTGTATAAGCATATAATTTTTCGATCTGTAATTCAAGCTTTTCTTTATTGTAACTTTAGCGAATAAATTGCAAAAAGAAACCAAAATAAATGTGTGAGCACAATTCAATAAGAAACAATACATTGTTTCAAGAAATAAAATAATTTTGATGCATGATTCAATCAAAATTTAGCTCTTGGTTTGGTATAAATAATTAAATCGAGAGTATTCTTCATGTAGGGGTACCAACTTTCAGTTTTCAAGGAATAAGAGCGCATCTTATACTGTATTTTCTAGCAGTTTTTAATGCACTGAGGTGTTTATAAAATTTCCCTGATCTTTCTATTTGAGACAGTTATGCAATTCCCCATTCTCAGGTAATGGAATGTGAAAGTGACATCCCTAAGTTATGGCTTATCAAAAGTAATGAGTTTTTCAAAAAAACCACTTGAAGAGAAATAAACATCGATAAAAACTACTACTAAAAAAGCATAAACCTAAAGATCCTTCCTGTCCTTTTGGTCCGACGTTGCTACGACAAATTTAGTTGCAATTGAGAACACTGGCGAACTCTACAACTTCGTAGATTTAACTAACACATCGAATAACAGAATCTCAACAAGATAAAACAAGATATTAATATATTATTTCAATGTTTTCTCGAAATCGTTGAACGACAAAAGCTTCATGATTAAAACAACAACTTGGACATTAAGTACCATTAATTTATTTTAGAGATCTTTCATTCGTCATCATTGAAAACAAATGCACACGAACTTCTGACAGTTTAATATATATTCATTAAGTCTGTTCATGTTTAGGACTTCAGGATTTCTTCATTCCTAATGAAGTTGTTCGCTCAAAAGATGAAATTGAATCGGTAACAATAAATACAAGCATCATTCTTACATCTAGTTTATCATTCATTATATTTCGATTCAAATTTGTAATTGCAACAGTACAGCTTTAAAAAAACAGAACCATTGAATGAGTCACATCCAAAGGAAGCCATGGATAATCTTTTTTCTATTGTTATAAACGTATTTAATTCAAACCCGAACAATATAATCATGGTGAATAAAATACACGTAAATTTTCTATCAATTATCTCATAGTTTCGCTTTTTCTTTAACAAGATTTCCGATAATGGTTTAAGCATGTGTAGAGCATGAAAACTATTGATGGTTGCACATATGTTGTGCATTTCTCATGGTATTCATAACTAATTAATCACAAATCAAGTTAGAACACACTCTTACAAATCTTTCATTCGTTACTTTGCTCAGTGCTTCATCTTTCGAAAAATGCACCAACTTGTATTTCTTTCTTTTTCTTTTTGCGTCGTCATATTCTCCTAACTACTAAACATGCTTACCTCATTCATTTTTACTAAAAATATTCACTATTGTACATATATCGAACAATGCTTTTTCTCTCTTGCATTCTTTCTCTCTATCATTTCATGTGCAATGCAAGAACGTCCTTAAAATCATCCTCTTTCTTTCGCTCTACTCTTTGTCTTCTACCTATTTTTTTCTCTTTGTTTGCAGGTATAAATAGGGTTTACTATTAATAAATCATGATTATTACTTTTCATTCGTTGGAGAGAATTAGATCTCTCGATCTATCAGCAAATAAAATGATGGACTTCGTAACAAATAGGTGGACGTGAAAACAATTTTTTTAATTTAATGACAGACAAAGAAGAAGCCTCTCGCAATAAAAGCAATCTTCCATAATATTCGTCTCATTATCCTTCATTTTCACATATCGTCAATCCAATGTCCAGCCAGTCCAGGCTATCAGAAAAAAGACGTATGTGAAACCATTTTTTCCAATCAATCTATATTAAGAAAGTAATGTCCCTATGTGGATTAGGCCAAACAACCGCAACACTACTGGCTAAAACATCCGTTTTCACAATACATCGTTAGACATTCTACCAATGCTCAATATAAGCGTTGATCAATGATGACACAAACATTCTCTTTCTTTTATCTTGGTATAAAGGAGCATGTCTTTCCCATTTAGAAATCCACCATGATATTCATCTAATGAACACTCATCTTCACAAACGAGGCTTATATGTTTCAACTCTTCATGGTGTCCAAGTACATGTACGAAGATATGAATATTTTTGTTTTGAAGAGAAATAAGCAAAGTGGTAACTCTTCTCTATTTGAAGTCCCCTCCAGAGTTTATTATCATGAACAATTGCCTCTGCATGCAGTACTAATACTCTTTCACTCTCTTACTTATGTCCGTTGATGGGTAAAGGTAAGATCTTTTCTCAATGGAACTAGATGAACAAATTGATATCTCTTGCTCATTTTAAAATCGACTATGACGTTGATTTCATCAACATTTTATTTGAGATATATCAATTGTATAATCATCTCACATGGCTACGCAAGTTTCTGCATGCAGGTAAGGACATTTTCTTTTGGCTATGCATATATAATATACTATTATATCTCACACTTGATAATATACCTTAAGGTCATATTTATGAATATTGGTCTCGAACGCTGACGATAAAATACTTCAACTCTTCTGTGTATCTAGTTGATGAACGAAGGTAGAGTATTTTTTATGCGTATATCTAGACTAAATTCCGTTTCTTTCTAATTTAGAAATCAACTTTTTGAATGATCCAATCAGCATCTGTTTAGACTAATATCAATGGCATATACACATTAGCTGGCTACCTACTCTGATTGAGGACGGCAAGAACAAGTCTCTTCTGGAATATAGAGAGAAAAGGTGCTGTCTATAAGCAGTTTTAACAGCTATCATCATACCATTCTTAGGAACATTTGTTTCGACAGCTCTCAATAGTACGTTTAATCTTTTTTGTGTACTCACGTTCATGGACAACAGTTGGAACATTCTTTTCTTGAATCAGATAAACAAATCAATGTCTACTTCTAATTCAGCAATCGGCCATTTATAAGAACCTATGATCATATTATTTTCATGATTATTCATTTTGACAGCTGGCAAAAATATATTTCAATTTTTCTGTGTACCGCTGTTGATGTAGGAAGATAGGAAACTTTTTAATACCATAGGTAGAGAAGGTCTGGGCTCGTTGTGATTTAAGGACCTTCATTCAACATTGGTTCTGTGGCTGGTTGTTGGGACAGCCTTTACTGAGCATGAATTAAGAGTAGTCGAAAAGTTTCGACCCGTCTTAGTAAATCTATGACAAACTCATATATAGTTAATTTATTGCTGTATGCAAATTTGTAGAGGAAGATTCGAGCTATCATCTAAAAGAAAGATACTTCGAAATGTATAAATACAATATAATGCTATGTTCATTGTACTAATCTTGAGTGAATATTTTCATCTTACATTTTTCGAGAAAACTGAAGAAAAAATTTTTTCAATAGAAGATCTAAATGACCTATAAGTTTATTAAACTGGTGTTTTGTAAAAATTCCAATTATCAAATTTGGTGGTATGCTGATTTTGTTTTTGAATGATTGTTTTTTATCTCTTTGAAGTACCACTAGTCAATTCCCCAATTTTCTCCAGACTAATTTTCTTTTTATTTATCAATGATATTTTGTTTGATATAATGTAATGAATTAAATGCATATTTACTTAAATCTTGTTGAATGATATCTCACAAATTTTCTATTGGCGCTAAATCATCCCTTTTGACGGCTTGATCATCAACATCAATACGTTCACATATATTTTCTGCTACTACTTCTATAGCAATTGGTGTATAGCGAATAAGAGATGTATCGTCTTGAAAAACGTAGTAATTATCTGAAAACAAGTGTTTTATTACAAGTAAATGAAGTCCTTTCAATAAATGAATATATCAAGCAGCATTCATTGTCTTCTTAACACCTGTTTTCCCATTCAGTTTGGGGTCTATCACTGTTGTGTGTAAGACAATTGTGTGCAGACAATTGTGAGAACAGACAGTTGTGTGTAAGACAATTATGAGAAGAGGTCATTGTGTGTAAGACAGTTATGAGAACAGACAGTTGTGTGTAAGACACTTATGAGAACGGACGGTAATGTGCATGGACGTCGATCAATTTTCCTTGAAAGTATTTAAACGAGTGAGAATAATAGAAGATATCCATTTACAGTCATTTAAAATTCACTATCATATAGATCACATTGAAAGTACGAACCCCTCATGTCAATTTTATTTTCTGAAACTGAAAAAGGCAAGCCAGTTCTGATTGAGAACGGCTTTGATTACATTCAAGAACGTGCTCATGAAAATAAAATATACTGGCGATGTATTTGATTAATCTTTGTTATTTTGTTTACTTTTTTCTTTCATTGTCTTTCACTTTTTTTGACAAAAATATTTATTTGCACATACACACACTCATTTTGCACACAAACATCTAACACACAATTGTCTGTTCACACAATTTCCTTGCACACAACAGTCGTGCTCCCTTCAGTTTGATAATAAATCTTTACGAGCAAAAGACTTACAACTGTTATGAAAATTTTTCTTAAAAAGTGTACGATGAATGTATTTACTTGAGATTAGTAGAATGACCATAACATTATACTACATTTATCTATTTCAAAATATCCTTTTTTGAGAGGATAGTTCTAGTCTTCCTCAACAAAATTACATATTTTGATTAATGAGTTATATAGAGATTTGTTCTACATATCATCGATTTACTGAGGGGAATCGACACTTTTCCATCATCATCAAATATCAGATATGATGTCATAAAAACTTTGAAAGATCTTACAGAAGAATCATTTCATTTCTATAGGGACTTTACTATGAGATTTAAGAACAAAAACCTTAGATTTAGCTTCAATTATAAGGAAGTTCAAATAAACGCTTCACCCCCAAAGCTCTGGAAAAGAAAAATGCTTAACTTGAACTATTATTCGAATATATTTT